ACTCTTAACTTGAGAGGGTGAGCATACGGAATTTATTCTGCAGCTTTGTATCCTTTGAATCAGGTACCTATATGATATCCTACCACAGACGTTATACATGAAAATCTACAATCAAGGCCAGTCTCCAATTATGCAGCCAACTTCTCTGGCAGAAGTTTAGACTGATTTCAGGAAGAAAAGCAATACAATTAATAAGGTGGGAGTTAAAAAAGGACACTTGGTTCATCAAGTTTGCTTGATCTATTATATGCACCACAACATTTTTACCTCTGCTATTTTGTTGAAGTTCACTTCTGTTTATTTAATGTACGATCAAAAATGATATGATATTTTCTTTTTAAATGCTTCAATCATTTATATGGATAGATGCAAACACCAGACCAAAATGGTACAGACTTAAGGAATAATCAGGAAATGGGCCTGAAAACTTATAACAAGCTTCATTCTGATCTAAAAATTAGTACAATAATTATTACAACATATTCTTCTTCAACCTCAAATCTCATAATCTTAGGGTCCATGGCAACCTCAAACCTGTTTGTAGTACATACTAATGCAACACGTTTCCCACTAGACTGAAGCATTAATATTTAAAAATGCCAGGGGTGAAATGAAAAACAAATCAAACGTACTGAGTTATCAGTCTTTTGAGGAGCCATACAAAGTGTTTTCTGATAGACAGCATCTACTTATCTACTAATGACTGGAATTCTTCTGGAAACAACAAAAATTCATGTACTATTCATCTCTCAGAAAGCTATGGTAGCCTATCTCAATTACATTCAACAGTCTTTTTCACCAAGGATGTCAAGCTAACACAGTTATAACATTCTTTAACCAGTCTTTTGTAAACTGGAAAATATTAGTCAATAGCATGGTACTCAATAGTTTAAAAATTACTTCACCCTAACTTCTTTGCATTGTCAATTTTTTGCTGCTTATACACAAGAACTCAATTTTCCATTATGGCTTTACCACTGACTGTTATTTTCTCCATACAATCAGATGTATCCAGGACAATGCCAACAACTTCTATTTATATAGTGCTTCTCAAGTAATGCAAAATCCCAAGGTATTCATAGAGACATTGTGTCATACAGTATGGAAGTCGACACTTCGTTCCAACGCATCCATGCCAACCAAGTTTCCCAAACTGAACTAGTCCCACTTGCCTGTGTTTGCCCCATATCCCTCTAAACCTTTCCTACTCATATACCTACCTAAATGTCTTTTAAATGTTGTACCGGCATCTACCATTTCCTCTGGCAATTCATTCCACATATGAACCATCCTCTGTGTGAAAAAGCTGCCCCTCAAGTCCCTATGAAATCTTTTTCCTCTTACCTTAAAAATATGCCCCGAGATTTGAACTGCCAGTCCTAAGGAAAATACCTTGGCTATTCGCCTTATCTATGCCACTCATGACTTAAAAAATCTCTGTAAAGGTCACCCTCAACCTCGTACGCTCCAGTGAGAAAAGTCTCAGCCTTCCAGCCTCTCCTTATAACTCAAACCTTCCAGTCCCAGCAACATCCTGGTAATTCTTTCTTGAACCCTCTCCAATTTAGTATCCTTCCAAATGAGACCAGTACACACTTCTTCAAAAGTGGCCTCATCAATATCCTGCACAACCTCAACATGACATCCCAACTCCTACACAAAATTGTTTGAGCAATGTAGGCAAGCATACTAAATGCCTTCTTAACCACCCTACCTACCTGCAACGCAAATTCTAAACAACTATGTACCTGAACTCCTAAGTCTTTCTGTTCAACAAGACTACCTATATGACAGTTTATATTACAGCAGATGAACAAAAACTTGAAGAGAGAGATGTTCTATTGACTATCTTAAAAAACAAAAATGAGATACAGAGGAAGCGTGGTTTAGGGAGGGAATTTCAAAGTCTATCTACTTTGGAATCTAATTCAAAAGTATTAAACCATCTAACATTTAAAGCATTTCCCCCGGCTTTTCTAGGAAATGTCAATTTCTCATAGCTACAATTTGCTGAGCAAACAACCGTTTCTGAATTTGCAAACTACATATTTTAGCGTGGTCAACGACGTCATCCCCAGCTGGCTGACAGGAATATATACAGGCTCGGTCAAATGCTCACAATTCCTTCTCCTGGCTAGTCAGGTACGCCAAATCTCTCAACCTTTTTTGCACCGGAAAACATGCCATGCTTTGCAACAGATGATCTATCTACATCAATTAAGCCAAAATCACATTAAAGACATCAATATTACCATACCAGAGGCAGGTGTCACAACTAATTATAACATTTCCAGACATTTATAGTTAGTTTTTACACAGTGAAAAGGCAGTATAACAAACTCTGAATTCACAGCAATTTCAACACCGCCACTTATCAAATTTCCATGTTGATAGAATACCTCTAATCAATTTCATTCTCCTGTTAAAAAAAAAACCACATTCGAAGTACATTCATGCTCTTTTCCTGACATTCCAAGACTTTTGTTGATATGAATGAAGCAGTTTAAAGAAACGACAGTCACAAATTACAAGTCTACATGATGTCTCTTAAAGCATTTTCCAAGGAGTTTTTATTTTGGGGGGGGTGGGGTTTGGTGAAGGAGAGGTATTGAATGAGAAAGTGAGTGGGAAGAAAGGAATACTTGATACAGAATCATCCCCTCCGCCTAGCCTTTCAAATTCCTTCAAATACAAAGCTCTTCATCCATAGCAGTTTATTTTTTCCAAAATCAATTTCGATCAAATAATCTTGTGATGCATTAGCTCAAAGTACGCAATGTACCTTTAGGGGAAAGACGTATTCTGTCTTTCTGCCAGAAGTAACTTTTAAACATCAACAAACAGAAGAAAATCCAGATTTGACATTTAAATGATCATATAGGTTTTAATCAGAAAACTGAAGGATTCCAACATGCATGTTTTAACAGTTCTGAAATCTATGCTCAACTCCAAATGAAGTGTCAAATGCAAGACGCTCAAGGCAACATTTTTGAACTCCAAATTTGGATTCATAAATGGTGTGGCACCAGCATCTATAATGGTGCATCAATAAACCTACAATATAAACGGAGCCAGGTTTTGTAACAAGATAACACAGGTATACTTATTGCTAGAAATTCAGATGCTACAGTAATATCTGTGGTTATTTTGTGCACAAATAACCACAACTAGAATATGAATAGACTTGAAAGGCGAAGTTGAAGTTAATACATTTGCAAATCACAAAACTATTTTAAATACCAAATTACAGAACAACCACATACAAACGAACAGCAGCCAAGGTATTTGGCCTACATAAATAAGCAGAAGTTATTTGCAAATCTTCAAACTCTCACAAAGACACAAAACGAAACCTAATCAATGAACTTCTTTAACTGAAGATTGTGGGCCAGGAGAGCATAATCAGACCGACAATGTACAACTACACTTTTTTCTGAGATAGCACAACTTTTAGACTAAAAATCAGTTATCAAATTGAAGAAACCAGAAGTCTTGTATCAGCCTGCATCACAAGAAGAATACAAACCACCAAGCATTGACATTGAGGGAATTTGAGCTGGATGTCATCAGCAATTTTCCACTTTAGGGAGTTACCTCATTTGATGCCACATAGAGCAGATAGGAGACAACAGACCTTCAAAAGCAAACAATGCATCCAGAAGACTCAATAAATCGCGCAGTTTCAGTGCATAGAACAAACTCAGTATACAAAAGTCACAGCCTTTATCATCATGTTCTACATTGCAGAGTCATTGGTTCTGTGGTATTGTCATTTACATCCCCTAGATTGTTTCCATTACCACTGCCTCTGCCACATCCTCAAGATCTACTAATAGGGCTAATTCACAAACACTATAGTCTCGGAAACAGCTTACATCAGCATCAAGGATATCCTTCTGTGTTGGGTGGGTCACATTTATTGCCCAAATTGGGTTGTACGAATTGAACATTGGTAAATGGAACAGAGGGACTCCGTGCAAACTTTTTAAAAGACACCCTAAGACCCATTTGTGTGCTAAATCAATTGTCACCAGTGGGAACGGTGTGCACCATACAACATGATTCCAGAAAAGTCTATATCAGGAGAGTCAGAAACATCTTTGAGACTGAGCAAAAAGCCAGCATGAACGAGAAAAGGATAAGAATAGATCTAATTACCCAACTTCAACTATGGCAGAACCAACCAACCACAGATAGGTCTCATTAGCCCACTGATGGGCCTGCAACTGATAAAACAGTCTTCTTCAAATTTCATGTGGGGAGAAATGCCAGAAAATTTCTATGATATGGTCAAAGTAAAAGATATACCAGAAGGAAATAATCAGAACCTCTCATAGCCAGACATCTTACTGGGTGAGAGATAAAAATGAAAAGGAATTTGTTGCTGTAAAGCTAGTGGTTTAAACTAACAAAATTATTAAATAGAAAAATTATGAGTCGAGGATTCATACTCTGTTCAGATTCCTCTCCCCAGGTTTAGAATAACCTTGCCGTACAGCCTTCAAACAGCCCTATAAAGTTTTTCTTACAAGCTATGGAATGAAATAAATGTATGGAGATAACGTGCAGCTGGAGGAAGTGGCCTTCAATGAGAATGCTGTATAAAGGGCCATGTGGAACAATTTTAAAAAATTGCAGACACACTTAAAATTTGAGATCAGCAAACAATAATAGCCTATTCTATGGTTGTTCAAAAGGATGCTCCCAGAAGCTTGTAAAGGAACTTTTATAATTAAAATCTAAATGCTGGTGATGAGGGTACAATCTCTTATAAAACATAGCACTGCTTTGAGTTTTAGGAACAAAAGCAAAAACATTTTCACAACATCATATTTAAACGAAGCAGCTTTGAAAACCATACAAGAACTGCAGCATCTTAGAACATGATCGTAAATGTGATCTTTTGATTCAACAGTTTTATCATTTGTTAATAAAGAGACATATATTTATATCTGGTCATAATCACATCTTTTGGCACCTAAAACCTACCACTGTCTCACCTTATTTTGTTGATCTCTACCTTGTACTCTCATTTCATAAGCGGTTTGCCTTGCATTCTGCAGGGGCTGTGGTTTGCCTCCACCATTCCGTTGGCCCAGAGGTTGTGGAGCAAGTTGTCCACCAGGAACAAAAGATGCTGCTTCTGTCTAATGAAAGAACAAAGATGACAGAGTTGCAATGGTTAAAAAGTGAAAAGACTCTAATTTATGCAACAAACTACAAATCAAGAGGTGTCTCAAGATACTTCAAAAGGATACAACAGAAGGAAAAATAAAACAAACTATTTCCATAACAAATCAAGAGAAAAACTGATGCAAAATGTAAAAGTTTCATTTGAAAAAAAATCAGGTAAGCTTGCTATGGACAATTGTGTGGGACTTTGATTTATATAGACAATGGACAAATCAAATGGACAAGTAAAGCTCCATAACAGTTTCCTGGTACATATTGAGAAACTAACCAGGAATTAAGTGATTTTAGATTTAGTGTTCTGCAACAAGGCAGGTCTAATTATAAACCACAATTTAATATAATTCAAATCCAAGTTAAGTTTGAAAGCAACATGCTCCAACCCCAAAAGACTCCAAAACTTTAACACAGCCAATTACAATCGATGTAAAGGGAGAACTGGCTAACATTAACTGGGCAAGTAAACTAGAAGGCATGTCAGTAAAAAAACAGTGGGTGATACTTAAAGAAACAACTTGAAATGTTTAACAAATATACATGCCATTAAAAATAACAAACCCAGTATGATATATCCAAATTGTGGCTTCCAAGGGAAATTAAAGATAGTATTACATTTTCAAAATAGGCTTAAAATGTCAAAGAACTGTCATAAGATTAAGCACTAGGATACTTTAACAAACAGCACCAAAGTTATTTAAGAAAAGAAAGAATTGAAGGAACATTTCTATTTTAATTGGTCATGGGATGTGGGTGTTGCTGAGTAGGCTAGGATTTAATATCCACTCCTTAAATACCCTCCAGAAAGTGATGGTGAACAGCCTTCTCGAACTACTGCACTCTGTGGGCTGTACATATGCCCGCAGTGCTGTTAGGAAATGAGTCCCAATGGCGATGAAGGAACAGAATCCCAAAATGAAACTTGGCTTCATAGATCATATGCTTAATTGTTGCAGTTGGTTACCATGGTAGTCAGCCACTGAAACACATTCAAAGGACTAGATATTCTTAAACCACAGGAAGAACGTTTATCACACAAAAGAAAAAAAACTATGTAATTTAAGACTGTTAGAAAGATGCTGCAACAAACAAAGTTGCAACGTGTTCTCCAAAATCATCTTTTCACAGATACTCTTTTCCAGAGAAACTTCATTTCTATCTGAATTTACAGTGAGGAAAAACTGACCACTCCCAGTTTCTTTCCCTTGAACTGTACAGACAAATTTATGATTCTCAGTCCAGTGTCATGAACCCCTCTCAATTCTGATGGTCTAAACTTCCTCAATTCTAACAACTTAAAGACTTCTACGCAAGATCTCCCAGCTCAGAAGCTGCACAAACTCACAATACTTTGGCTTGGGCAACTGGTTCATCTAAACTAACAATTTCTCTCGCGAGAAGAAACCTTTCTCCTTTTTGAAATGTAATCTTGGTTCTCCTGAGCAGAGATCCTGAAACTTCTGTTCTGAAGACAAATATAAAGTAATAGCATTCCGGTCCATTGTAGATGCTGCATTAGAAGCATTCCATCCATAAACAGCAAAAGGGGTTCACTCAGGCATTTGACTGCAGTCAGCTTTCTTGGTATTGATACATGTAAATTACTGATCCAAAATACTTTCTGGCCAGTTTAAAAAAAAACAGAAATGAACCTCACCCATCTGCTTCTATTTTAAAAGCCAACTTTCATAATATACATTTCATCACAAAGTATGTGAAAAGGATGGGAATAATATAAGCGAGCATTGGTCCCATAGAGGCAGAGATAAGAGAAATTATCACAGGAAATGAGGAAAAGATGGGAATTAAGGAACAAATAAGAATGAGAAAAAGTATGAAGAGACTTAAGGGATTAAAAACTATCAACTCTCTGTGAACTAATGCCATACATACTGTGGTTCGAAGTAGTTGCAGAGATAATGGATGCACAATTAGGATTTTCCAAAACTGCCTGGATTTAATTATGGCTCCAACAGATTGTAAGTTAGCATATGTAATACCACCATTGAAGGTGGTGTTGATGTTGGCAGGGGGCGGTGGTGGTGGTCGAGAAGCAGGGGAAGCAGAGAAAGAAAAGGGGAACTCCAGGACATTTAGCCTGACTTGGCTTATCCGGAAAATACTATTAAAGAATGCTTAATCGTGCGCTGAAACAAAACAGTATAACCAAAAAGAGAAATAGTGTTTGAACCAATAAAAGGTAAATAAAGGGGAGTCAGTAAACGCAGTATACCTAGACTTCCAAAAGGTATTTCAAAAGGTGTCTCACAAAACATGAATAATAAAGATAATGGCTCCTTAGCTGAGATAATAATCAGCGTGGAAAGGGGAACTGTGAACAGAAAGGAAGCAGAGAGTAAGGACAAATAGACATTTTCAACTTGGCTACGAACAGTAGTCTCCAGAAAGATTAATGCTGGGGCGTTAGCAGTAATAGGACGAGAATAACCTATGCAGATTTTCACACAATACAATGTAGATGGAAATGCAAGCAATGAGAATGACAGAACCTGTAAAGGCGATCCAAACAGGTTAAGTGAATGAGCAACAAGGTGGTATATGGTAGTATAGAAAACTGAAGGGTTAACTCATTGAACTATTTATGTTTCTGAAGGGGATTGACAAGGTAAGAACTGGGGCACTATTTCTGCTGGCTCAGGAATGTAGACCATGACAGTAAAATCATTTTAGGACTTAGATTGAAATAAACTGTTCCACACAGAAGGTTGAGAATCTTGAATTGAACATCCACATGACTGAATTCTCTATTGTTCAGCATATTCAAGACAAACTCAAATTTAATTGATCTTTAAGGGGATTAAGGGGTATGGGAAGCAGATAGAAAAGTGATATTGAAGAAAATCGAGTTGAGTGTGACACAAGGCTTGAGAGGGATGGCATGGTCTACTCCCACTTCTTGTGTTTGTAATGGGCAGACAGATCGGACTAACACAGAATAATCAACTTTTCGGAGGCAAAGTTTGTCCCAGGGCCTCCATTTTCAGATTTAACCCAAATAAAATGAAATCAAAATTTGTGTTTCTAGATATTCTAGATTAACGGAGCAAATCTATATACTATGTTACTTCAACAAAAATTAACAAATTTTAAAAATGTATCTCTGCAAACTGAACTTTAGTTCTTTTACAGAGCTAATGTTCTGATTTTTTCCAACATGTTAATTTTGTCTTTTATATTACCATGGTACAAATAATTTCAGTTTGAAACTAGCATATTATAAAGTATAGTTTGTGATCCTGTGCCTACCAGACAAATAACTAGTGGAAGTACCAGCTCATCTGTTAACTGGCTCCTACCTGTTACTTTCCTTTCTCTTCTGAAAAAAAAAACACCCAGCGAATGAGCCAATTGTTCTTTTCCCATGATTTTGAGTTTAAAATTAATAATGCTGGGGGACAGGGGATATTTCCTAGGTTAATTGATGTTTAGTTTATTTTATATCGGAAAGTAGACCAAAATAAATTAAGTGAAATTTCTAGAGAAATGACTTTTGAAGGCATTTGCAGAAACGATTTATGAAACAATGGAAACTTGGGGCCTCACAGCCAGTCAATCGCAGCATCACTTTCAAATTACACCTCAGAAATGAAAACACTTCCATTTTTATACAAGTCCCAACATTTCTCTTGAACTGTACATTATCTTTTAGAAAACTGAAACAATTGAAGTATCAAACTTCTCAAAAGTAAAAGCAGAAACGATGCACGATAATATCCACATTACAGACGTGGACCCTGACCTCCTAACTGCATTTTCTTTTGCAGACCAATTCAAAAACAGACATTCAATAAAAATCTGAGAATTGCACTGGATCAACCTGACAAAAAGGCAGAAAAGGACAGTGGCTTTCTACGAGCAAGTGCAAGTTTGGCAATGTTAAGTGTCACTCTCACTTTTCCTCTCATATGAATTTAAACATCTGCTGAAAAAAATTCTACCAATTCAATTGTATGGTACAGAAGCAAGGTGATGAATTTTTGCTCTGATAAATAGAAAAAAATCAATTCACCTCCAGATAGATAGATTTGAATGAAAGTTTGTCCTCACATTAAATGAACAAAATACTGGACACTCCTACAACTGTTAAGATTCATCTCTATAACAGAATTAGGGAATGACTTACTTTCATCCTTTTGTTTTTTTCCTTTTGCCTTTTTCTAAATGACACCTGTGAAAGAAGTAGATGCCAATCGTCTTACTTGCATGTTTAAAAGATCATTTAAAAGCAGCTATTTACTGTAGCTTCATGGAGTACTGTTCCATAAGGGCTCACTCACTGTAACTATAACAATAGTGTGGAACATTTCCTGTAGTTTGACTCCACACTGTAATTAAAACACAAATACAAGCCTGAATTCAGGTGGAGAGCAGAGAGGAGCAAGACTCCCTTGAAATAGCAGTCTCAACTAAACTTTGAAGTTAGTTCAGCCTTGACAACCTTTCACACTCCACAATTTTAACAATGTGAAACTAGATAGACAGCAAACTTGTACCGTAAAAGCAAAATTAACCTCGCCGGCATTAAACTATTTGGCTGTTTCATATGGCCTTCAACAAGTTTTAAGCGTGCTTTTAGTTTTGAATGGAAAATGGATGTTTACTTGACAATTTTATGGCAAAATAACTTACCTGGAGTAGTTAATAAGAACATAAATAACTTTATCTTTTACTATAAACACAGTATTAAATAACACATCTATAACACATACTTTAGGCTGCAAAACCAGAGACAGCTTACATCATCATCTCTTCTCTTCTTAAAGATGTTATCTTCAGCTTCTCCAACTGCAGCCATTATCATCTGCACTCGTTCTAAGTTGACAAAACCATTCTCCGTAAGATAACCCTAAAGGAAATAAAAGCTTTGCAGTTTATCAGATTTCTTTTGCCATTAAATACATAGGTTGGCAAGGCTATTCATGTCACTTACCCCTGTCTTGTGTACTACGTTCTTGTAAATGCCAACGAGTCGATCAATCGCACCCTCCCTGAGAAAGAGACATAGTGCCCAAGAATGAAATGTTAAAGTCAAAATTTTTGTCATCAGCTCAGTTCACATGGAACTACAGTATTTTATGAGTTCTTGCAATACACAACAGTTACACTTTTAATAAGACAATGCAGCCTACAAAATACTGAACTGCACAGTGTATGCAGAAACAGTATGGCAAATGGTCATCCCTCTCAAACACTTAGTTGTATAACTATTAAAAAACTTGCTGTGATTCATCCATAAGCAACAACTATTGTAAAAATAAATTTGAAACATCTTAAAATTTACTCTCATTATTTCATACTGATAGCACAAGAGAGTTTTTCTCAAAGTTTTTGAAAGTATTATTCATTGCTCTGCACAATTCCTACTCTTTAATGATTGACTGCGGCTGAGTTCAAAATAAGTCAGTGAATGTATTCCAAATGCAGTGGGTATGCTGCTGTGGTCATTTTTACAGCTCCATATCATGAGGGGGACAGACTTCATGTCATTAACAGAAAGAACTTTTTTGTCATTAAGTGTATACAAATCAGGTTCATGACATAACTAAGAGCCCTACACAAGTTTCACAACAAGCTCTTGAAACTCAAAAACAAAATGGAAGGGAGAGCTAACAGACTTCAAAAATTAGAGCAACTCCCTTGGGCCTTCAGCCTCCTTCCTACCAATTACTGCTGTTTCTCATTGATGTGCTCAGCAGCCCAACAAATGATGAAGCCCACACAAATCCCTGGGCTTTACATACTCTACCATGCATATAATTCGTAATTATCAGGGACTGGAATTTTTTCTCCACGCCTCAAGTCTTAACAAATCTAAACACTACTTATAGTTTATAAGTGCAGTTTCAGTCCAGTAATATGCTATTTCAGAAGTGTACAGGCATTAATTATTAATACATTTCTGAACAAGGTTTGCCACTTAGAATCTTGAAAATTCAGGGTAATTAAATTAAATTAATTGTGAGAACTTACTAAAGTCAACTCAGACCTAGTTATCACAAGGTAGTGCAATTGCACTGCTAGCCTATGTCTCTATTACTTGAAAATGTCCAGCTTCCAGCAAAATATGGCCCGCCACAGGTTGCAGGAAATAAGCTAATGTAGACCTTGTTTCCTCCTTAGAATAACAAGAACTCTTGTATATTTCAGATAACAAGGCGTAGAGCTGGATAAACACAGCAGGCCAGGCAGCATCAAAGGAGCAGGAAAGCTGACGTTTTGGGTCTGGACCCTTCTTCATTTCTGAAGAAGGGTCCAGGCCTGAAACGTCAACTTTCCTGCTCTTCGGCCTGTGTTCATCCAGCTCTACACCTTGTTATCTCAGATTCACCAGCATCAGCAGTTCCTACTACCTCTTGTAAATTTCAACTGCTTTTCATCAAAACATCAAACAAATTCAGCTCCAACAATCTGCACTGTAACTCTCTTCGGCCAACTTTCCAGAATTTATCAGAACTTACTGAATAACAGCATTTTAAACTAGGAAGATCAAGATAGCCACAATTATTTACTTTACTAAAAATGAAACAATGAAACTCAAAACTAATAAACATTAAAGTGAAAAGCTGAGGCTTCCAGAAAAGTATGAACGATCCTGACAATATACCTTCAAGTATTCCAAGAGTACAGAAAAAAGTCAAACAATATTGAAATAATTAATTGAATCAGCATACCTAATTTCCAGCGATGGTAGATGAGGCAGAAAATCATTTCCCACAAAAAAACACATAAACACCCAGTCATCAATGCTCCTCTCAAAATCGAACTTGAAGGGGAGGCTTGCCATAGTTAATTCTCTTTCCAAGTACTGGTTAAAATGTTTAAAAAAAAGACTATGATTTATGTTATATGCCAAACAAACATTTTAAGAGTCTTAATATTTTGAGATCAACCCACCTCACGCAAGACAGCTAATCGAATAAATATGAATTCCACTTCTGAGCCAATTGGAGGATTACTTCCTAATTGGTCGAACTAAAGAATGAAAGACAAAATAATAATTTTGACTGTGAAAAATCCACTAATCTTATCCCAGCAACTTTTTTTTTAAAACTAAGACCACACTTATGGTTATTATTATATGTATACGCAATGGAATATCTCCACTATATAGCAGCAAAGTATGGGGGTCCCCAGTATATGAACATCCGGCTTATGAATGTGATCTTATACTAGAATTTAATTTTAAAGATCTGACATACAAACATTTCCTGTACTTACAAACAGCTACTTCAGATTGTCCTGCATTGTGTTCAGACTTCCATATGGACTCAAAAACAGAACCCGTTCACATCCCAGTACAGCCTGTACAGGTTATCACACCATGACTTTTCTTATCTCCGTCACTTCATGCTGTTTTCAGCTGCTCAGTACCAAGTTCTCGGAACACCTTTCTGAACATCTTGAACTCATTTAAAACTTTTCTTAAAGCTTACCACTTTGAACGAGCTTTTGGACATCTGTCCTCATCTCTTCTTATGAACACAGTAAGCATTGCAAGTTTATTTGAGGGCACTTCTATGCTGTTGCTATATTGCTGAAAATAGACAACACATTTTGTCAAAGGTTTTTGTATTGGACTCATCAGGACAATTCAGAAGACGACCAATTCAACTGGAAACCAAAGTTTATACAACATGAGAGGATAGTGCTAAATGGATAGAAAGTGGACCCTAATTGGTATAGTTGTTGCCATGGCAGAGTTCACTTGCCAACCAATTAGCACATGTCGCTCTCATCAGTATAAACAGTGGTTTTCTGCTTGATCTGGTATTCTTGCGATTTGTAGATGAGTGCAAGTCAAAAAGCTTTGACAAAATGCAGATAACAAGGTGTACAGCTGGATGAATACAGCAGGCCAGGCAGCATCAGAGGACCAGGAAAGCTGATGTTTTGGGTCTGGACCCTTCTGATGCTGCCTGGCCTGCTGTGCTCATCCAGCTCTATACCTTGTTATCTCAGACTCCAGCATTGGCAGTTCCTACTCTCTTTGACAAAATGCACCTTTTTTCAGTAATACTCAAGTTCTGAACTACCGAGTGGCTATTTGGTTGGTGCTTTATATCTTTTGTGCTGCTTGTCACACAAAGTTAACAATGTAAACAATATGTCAAAGAATCGCTACTTTTGGAGTAACGGTAACAGGGCAACGTCACTATAATAAAATGAATCTTTTTGGAAAGCTGCATTGTGTGGCACGTAAAGCTTAACTTCCAGGCTGTAGTACAGCTATCTCATTCTCATTAGCACAGCAGTAGCAAATGTAAATTCTGAAACCAGCATTACTGTCTTAAGAGTGGCATTTAAGGAAAACTACTCTTAAGGAAATAACTAATAGTAATGTGCAATGTGCTCCAAACAGTTTGTTTTACAAGCATTCAATTTCCAAAAAAAAAAGTATCAGTGTTGAGTCAGCATTCTCTGTAGGCGTAAACAGAAATGTGATGAGTGTGAAATGATGGTCAGAAAGCATCAGCGATTTAAGCAGTTACATCTGGCAATGCTGCAATGAATAAGGTTGAAGTGATGTGCTTCAAAATATGGGTTGTTGCTGATAATAGGCTGCAGGGATTCAGGTTTAATAACACTAATAAGCTGAAAAACCTTTGCTTGTCAAGCCTTTCTCGGTTGTAAAGAGGGTTTTTTGGGGAAGAGGTGCAGGAAAAATTAAGAAGTGAAATCATGCACAGTATTTGAAACACGTAATTTTGCTCTTGCACATTAAAGACAAACTTGTATTTGTGATGTCCACATCCATGAACTGAGGGTGAAGTGTCTTAAGAATGAATGCCAAGTTGAATGTTGGAAATTTGTGGCTGAAATCAACTGAGACACTGCCGCTAATCGATTTGCACATATGAATAAAAACTCTGTATAAATGTTTTTATTGCTCAATGTTTCAATATGTAAGGGATAAAAGAACCAAGCTGCTCTCATCCTCGTACTGCAAAGTAATATACAAGTGAAATCCTTTCCCATTTGACCAATGAAAGAAATCCCATGTTTTATTTTCTGCAGATATTAATATTGGTGAAAGTAGTTAACAGCAATATTTTACAGGCTTTAATTACAGTACCTCTCCTTGCTTTTCTTTCGGCAAACCCTGGCATTCTTTGATTTCATGGCCAACTTGATTACAAAGAGCACATGGCTTTGGCTGGTTGGGTTTGAACTCTTCCCTGATTATAGTGAAGTTTGGTTCATGAGTTGCCAATCCCAACATGATAAGATCAGCTGTTGGAAAAAAAACAGGTTTAGTAGCAGAAAAGTAGGCATTTATATAATTTACATAATAGCAGTCAAGATTCTGAAACAAAAGCAATCCTTAACAGGTTACAAGATACTGAAAGCTAATTTTCACAAGAGCTACACTACTCATAGAATCATAGAATCCCTACAGTGTGGAAGCAGGCCATTCGGCCCAACAAGCCCACACCGCCCCTCCGAAGATCGTCCACCCAGATCCATTCCCCTGCATTTTCTCTTGTCTAACCCACCTAACCTAAACATCCCTGGGTACTATGGGCAATTTAACATGGCCAATCCACCTACCCTGCATATCTTTGGACTGTGGCAGGAAACCAGAGCACCCAGGGGAAACCCACGCACATAAAGACAATTGGATAACTTCTCACCATCAGCTCCACACAAACAATGATGGGTGTTTGGATCGTGGTGTGGCTGAGCTGCAAAGTAAAAATGAACATTTTAAAAAAAGACCTCCTCAGCACCCCACTCCATCTTCCAATCAAATATCGCACACATACCTCGTTGTCTTCTTATATAATCCATGATCTTGTGTTCACCCTCACCAGGAACACTTGCATCTGACAAAATAACCTAGTAAATTTTTAAAAAAGCAAATTAATTACATTATTGTGATTGAAACTAATTCCATATGAACACCATTATAAATATCACCACTCCACAAAGTGTTTTCCACTTAATAAATGCAAATTCTTTATCTGTAATTTCCTATCTAGCCTGTAACACAGTTATTATTCTGAATTTGCTCAAGTCAAAAAACTAGCAGCACTAAAGACAGAAGAGAATTTTTTTCATTTGAGGGCCATGAGTCTTTGGAACTCTGCTCCTGGAAAGATACTGGAGCCAGAAGCTGAAAAATGTTTTAAGGCAGAGGTAAACAGATTCTTATTAACAAAACAAGGAGAATTCTGTCAAGGGCAGGCAGGAATGTGGCATAAAAAGGTCAATCATGATCTTATTAAATGGAGAGCAGTTTTGAGGCACTCTGCTCCTAATTTGGACATATGTAATGTGGTGATAATATGCAAATTGATGAAGAAGAAAAATGCAGACCGTAGCTGAATAAAAGTGGACCGGGTAGAGGGAGCAGACAAGTCGAAAATGAAAGTGATCCAGAGAATTAAGTGAAGGAAAGTAATGCCGTTGCGGGGGTGGGCTAACAGAATGGAACACATCACAGGATGGTGATCTTGAGAAGAGTAAACAAAGGCTTTTGAATACATGCACTCAGACCACTGAAGACAGTCATACAGGTAGACAAAGGGATCAGGATGCATATACAATACAGGTAGGTCTCCTATAACATGGTAGTTGCATTCTTGTATGACCTGCACTGTAGAAAATCGCGTTATAGGAAAATCGCTATAGAAAACCACGATACCTGTACAGCAGGAAGTTTGTGTTATCCAAACAGCATCCACTATTCATTGATCGTGTTACAGCCAATTTGCATTAACGAAACACCATTATAGCAGAACTACCTGTACCTTCCTTTATTTACAGAGGCTAGGGAGTACAAAAGCATGAAGTTATGCTAGAATGTATAAAACTCTAGCGATATGGTCACCGCATAACAGGAAAGATGTGATTTCACTTCACAAGAGTACAAAAGGAGATTTATAATGGTATTTTCAGGGATAGAGAATTTTAATCAAGGAAAGACTGAAAATACTGCCGTTGTTCTCCCTTGGAGCAAAGGAGGCTGAATGAAGGTTTAATTAAAGTGCATAAGATTGAGGCAGCTATGTAGATTAGGAGGGGCCTATTCCTATTACCAGAAAGATCAATAACTGGCGTCATAGATGTGAAGTAATTGGTAAAGAAATTACAGAGTTCCTCATCTTGCTGCTGCATCCCTTTGTAACTCCACTTGTTGCTTGATTGGAATCAGAAATTTGATCGGAGATCAATTTTCCTGTCAGCCAGGGAACTACATTAAATTGACGACAGACACCAGAACTATTTCTCCAAGTTATGTATCGATTATTTGTAATTTAATGATTTTTTTTTAAAAACCCTTTATATTCCTCTAATTTGGTCCTTCATCAGACCAGGTTTTGAAAGGGCCTTGATTAATCTTGCAATTAATCCACAGCTTTTCGTATTTTAGGTTCTTAATCTGTACGATAGCAGCTTCGAAAATCTAACTAGGTGCTGGGTCACAAATGTGGCTTCTGTTGAGCTGAATAGATATCTTGAGTTAAGTGGTTCAATGCTCATAGTTAATTTAGGGATAAACGGTCAGTTCCTTCTCTTGTCCTCTATCTCATGTTTGTACTCTGCATAAGCACACCAAGTGAAAATGTATTCTGTGGACAGTAATGGAATTCAAATCCAACTCTCATTGCTACATTAGTTTAATTCCATATTCCTCTTTGCTAAAAGAAAATCACTTTTGTTTCAAGGTTCCATCTTGGATTCCTGCCCTGCTGTCACCTCCCACAGTCTTGCAGTACTCCGATTTCTGTACTCTTCCAACTCTTGCCCCTTGCTCATCCCCTCACCATTCCATTGTGGCTGGTTGTGCCTTTAGGTACCTAGGACACAAGTTCTCGACCACTCCGACTCTTCCCTGGATCTTAACATCTCTACCCTATCAAAGGAAGTAGTAGAGATGGATATGATTACAACGTTTAAAAGACATTTGGACAGGTACGTGAATAGGAAAGGTTTAGAGAGATATGGACCAAACATAGGCAAATGTGACGAGTGAAGTTTGGGATACCTGGTTAGCATGGACAAGTTGGACTGAAGGGTCTGTTTCCATACTGTATGACTCTATGACTTCCCCAACCAGTCTGAGGCACAAGGTGCACCACCATCCCCACCTAGTCAAAGCAATTCAACTTCATGTTACAACTCCAAGAACAACACTTATCAAGTTCGCTCCAAACCAGATACCTAAAACACATAGCACAATAACTTATTTTTTACCACTTACTTTTAAATAATGATCCCAGTTCTAGAATCTCCCACAAGATAAGACATTGACTCCGCATCAACCTTGTCAAGACCCCCCAAGGATCTTATACCTTTCAATCAAGTCGCTTCTTGCTCTTCTAAACTTCAGTAAACACAATCCTAGCCTGTCCAATCTTTCCTAAGTCAGCCTGCCCATTCAAGGTACCAGGCTAGTCAGCATTCTGAACTGCTTCCAATACACTGACGTCCTTCCTTAAATAAGGAGACCACATCTGTGCAAAGTAATCCACGTGATCTCATCAATGCCTTTTACAGCTGTAGTATAGGGGATTTGAGCAAGGAAATAAAGACGTCTTGCTACAAGCTTTATAGAGTTTTGGTTGGACCTCTCCTGGAGTATTGTGGGGAGTTTTGGTTTTCTTATCCAAGGAGGGATATATTTGCCAGAGAGGAAGTACAATGATGGTTCACCAGATTAATTCCTGGGACGGTGGAATTGTTTTAAGAGGAGAGGTTGAGGAAACTCTCAAATGTTATGAAAAATGACAGTAATCTCACTAATATTTCTTTTTAAACAGGCCATGACAGGTTTGATATAGTTACGCTGCAACCCATTTAAAACTGAGATGAGAAGGAATTCTTCACTCAGAGGTGGTGAGTCTTTGTAATTCTCCACCTGAGAAGGCTGTTAAAGCTCAGAGAGCAGATACAAGGCAGGAATTGAAAGGTGACTATAGTGTTAAGGGATCTGGAGATAATGTGACATTGAGGAGATGATTAGCCATGATGTAGAATGGCCTGACAGGACAGATTCGATTGGTTGAATGGCCCACGCCAGTTCCTACCCCGCCACCCCCGACTTGTGCATTCAATTCTATTTGCAATAAGCAATAACATTACAACTTTCCTAATTAATTTCTGTACCCGTCTTCTGCAATTCACACACTCATCAATCACCTGCTAATGAGTATGATTGCCCACTATGGAAATTCGTTGTGTAGCTTAACCAATTCCAAAGCTACATCTCTGATCACACATTTGGCAGGCATTTCCAGATGGAGGAAATGATCTGTGGCCTTGAGATCGCTGGCATTCCTTGTCCCGGTTCCTTTTCCATACTTCCTCTAGGCAATGGGCATTCTCCAAGAATTGTGCCCATTCATACAGAGGTCCCTCCAGAATGAGGATCTCCCACGTGTTGACCTCTATATCATATTTCTGGAGGGAAGCCTTCAAGAAGTCTTTGAAATGCTTTCTTTGTCCTCCTCTCATTCAAAAGCCTTCCTTGAGCTGGACGAAGATGATTTGCTTTGATTGTCAGAACTCATGCATCCTCAGCACATAGTCAGCCAAGCAGAGTTAGTTTTGGGTGATCAGGCCTCGATGTCTGTCCTCCCAGATGATGCAGAGAATCTATCTCAAACAGCCATTGAATATATTTCTCAAGGGTTTTGTGGTGGCTGCTACCTATAGTCCAAATTTCAGAGCCATATAGAAGATTTGGCATGATGGTTGCCTTATACACAAGGATCTTGATTTCAGCAAGGATGTCACATCCTTAAGTATCTGAAGGTGCCATTCAGATTAGATGTGGTTTGGATCTCCACAGAGGTCAGTCTTAAATGAGAAATGCTCCCCAGATCAGGGAAATGTCCCAAGTTTGGGAGGATTCTCTTTTATCTTAACGGAGGATGGACTGGAACTTGGGTAGTCAAGGGTAATCTTCTTGACGTTCTTTGGTATGCTTCTGCAAAGGTGTCCACGAGGTTTGAAGATCCTGTTCCAAGAGTAGAAGGATTGACATGGTCAGCCACATACTCAAGTTCCACGAGTGAGGTCGGTGTCATTTTCTTCATGGGTTTCAACCATCTGAAGTCAATAGTCTCCATCTATTCTATAAACAACATCCACACCACCCAGAAGCTTTTTCTTGACAAGAAGAAGAATGGTGGTGATGATAGTGGAGAAAAGGGCAGGAGCAATGACATACCCCAGGTTGACTCCTGTCTTAACGCAAAGGATTGTCATTTTATTCCCCATCGGTCAGGATCATCACCAACATCATGTCACGGAGGAGACAGAGGATACTGATGAATTTCTCTGCACATCTGGCCTTTGACAGGGTGTTCCACAGCATTTCCCCGACTGACTGAGTCAAAAGCCTTGGTCAAATTGATGAAGGCCATTTAGCGTAGTTGGTGTTGTTCCTCGCATTTCTGTTGGGAATTGCGAAACAGTGAAAGTCATGTCCATAGTTCCACAATTTGGTTAAAAGCCACAGTGGCTTCCAGGAGGGATTTCTTCAGAGCATGGGGAAGGTATCTAGCTAGGATTTAGTGATCTTCTAGGCGGTGGTGAGTAGGGAAGATTCTTCCATAGTTCCAGAACTACCAAAAATTCATACACTGGGCTGTAATCTCCACAATTTTAATAATATGTTAATTTTTTACTCTTCCTGTAAAATAAAACAATTTCATATTTTCCACACTATCACTCCACTTGCCAGATCTTTGCCCATTCATTAACCTATGAATATCTCTAGCTCCTGTGCCCTCGAAGAATAAAACTTATTTTCCCATCTGTCTTCATCTCATTAGCAAATTCAGCTACCTTGTCTTTGGTCCCTTCATCCGCTTCATTTAAATAAATTGCAAGAAGTTGAAACCTCAGCACAGATATCCTTGAGTACACTATTCATTATATCTTTCCAACTAAAAAAATGACCCATCTTGTCTATTGTATCCTGTTAACTAGCCAATCTTTTACCCATGACATTAGCCCTTGTATCATGAGCTCCTAATTTCTGCAATAACCTCTGATGTGATACTTTATCAACTTCTGGAAATCTATATGCAGTCCATCCATTGGTCTCCTTTAACCACAGCAAATATACTTCTGCAAGGAACTCCAATAAGTTGGTTAAACATGATTCCCCTGTATAAAAGCTTGTCAACTCTGTTCAATTACCTTGTACTTCTCCAAGTGCCCTGCTATGACATCTTTAATAATTAGCTCAACATATTTCTTGTAAGAGATGTAAAGCTGAATGCTGTATAGTTTCCAGCTACTTCATGTTTTGAATAAAAGAGTTGTATTCACTACTTTCTAATTGAGTGGAACCTTCTCCAGTTCAAGAGAATTTTGGAAAATTAAAACTAATGCACCAACTACATCACTAGCCACTTCTTTTAAGACGTGATATTTCTGTTCTTAATATCTGTGGTAAAACGCGACACCAAAATTTCCAAGTTTGTTTTCATTTGAGAAAAAAATGTTGACAGGAATACAGAACATCATATCTATATTCGAGAAGAACACAGCAATTTGTGCAAACAAGAATCTGAGGGCATGATTCACAAAACAGTTCAGCATCTAATGCAGTCGATGCTTGGACGGGTGACGAATTCAAAGGAGGTAAAGAGAAAAAGATTCATTCCTGACTAGGGAAAGAGTAGAACAATGTAACCGAAATATCACCTAACATCCGGATTTAGCGAACATGACAAAACAAACAAAATAGGTTTTCCCTCACTTGTGATCTAAATACGAAGCTCGAGAAATGAATTGACACTTACAGTTAGGTTTTTCCATCCGGGGTCACTGTTTAAACGATCAGCAATGTAGTACCTAAGACACTTTGCTAAGTTATCCATGAATTCAGTTCCCTTGAATAAATCAAAAGGAGTAATTCAAAAGTAATATTTTGCAACAAGAGAAACAACACAGACTGGAATTTCAAACACCCATTTTCAAATGATTAATACTTACTGGAGTGATGCAGTTGCTATCAAACCGTTCTTTTACTTCTTCAGGAGGTAGGCATCCACCTGCAAAATAGGATAGCCAGTTTCACTCAGAGTGGAGAATAAGCACAGAAGCAAAGATTATCTATACATTATTTCTTAGAAATGCTACATAATTCATGTTAAATTTAGTCAAACATTTGACACATGATGTACCAACAGCAGATATCCATCAAATGTTACTTTCAACATTATGAATTGGGAAGGCAAATAAATGTCATAACACAAATACACCATACCTTTAGAAAGCACTTCTTCCCTCATTTGTCTCTTCTCTTCAATCAGTTCCAATCCTTCTTTGGATGCACGAAACCGTCTAGATCGCTGCTGGTTCATTTTGGCACGAGGAGCCTATAACATCGAGTTCACTAGTTGCTTATATGCTCGACTTAAATTAGGTTCAATTCTACCACTCATTATGTGCAACTGTGGCTATATTTTGGATAATATTTACATAGCCCGTTTTTACCTTTACTTCTAATTACTGGTATGTATTTTTGACTATTATGAGAATTATTTCATGAATATGTTCACTTATATAGTCTTTAAAACATATTATAAATTTAACTTTGACAGCCGACATTTTGCAAGGTAATACATTTGCTAAAAGGATCAAAACTGTTAAATTGCTGTTTCTTTGCTAAAATCATTCAAGAACAGGTCAGAAAAACACCAACGTGCAATGCACTCTACCATCAATACATGTGCAAAGGTAAGCAAAAATGGCAATTACGGTTTATTGTGTGGCAGGTTAGTATTTATGCTCTGATATCTTACATTTATGACAATGGAGGATTTCTTTTTAAATGACTGAACATGAATAATGAGATATTCCATTTAAAATATGAACTAATTAATTGCAACTTCAACTAGTTGCAACTTCAAAAAGCCACAATACTACTTAAAACTTGAGAAAATGTTATGACCACTTTATACTTGCCAAATTTTTTGTCATTTGCACATTTCTGTGGCAACATCCAGTCCAGTAAAAGATATGAATTATGTTTTCATGCTCTGCACTCTTAGTTGGTATTGCTAAGCTATACAGAACAAAAATCTACAAATCTCAGTTGGCCATTTTTCCACAAAGGTGTACTGATTTGTAATGTGGCTGAAGTTACAAACCTACAATATTATTTTTATTCATTTGTGGGACATGGGTGTCACTGGTTGACCAGCATTTATTGCCCATCCGTAGCTGCCCTCGAGAAGATATTCGTGAGCTGCCTTCTTCAACCGCTGCAGTTCACCAGCTGTGGGTTGACCCAGAATGCCATTAGAGAGGGAATTCCAGGATTTTGACCCAGCAGCTGTGAAGGAACAGTGATAAATTTGCAAGTAAGATGTAAGTGGCTTGGACAGGAACTTGAAGGTAGTGCTGTTTCCACACATCTGCTGCCCTTGTCCTTCTAGATGGAAGTGGTTTTAGTTAAATCAATAAGTACACATTCTGGTTAACAGGATAATTAAGCTACTGGCATTCGATATAATAAACATTTCAGTGATGCAACGTTTACAAAATTTAAAATCCCACCGAAATATTCACTTCCTACCACTCACTATAATTTACAAGTAAATATACTTTTGTGGACCGTCTACATCCACAAAAACACAGCTAACAAAATTATCATTCTACAGAATGGTCCAAAAGGTTTCTTTTTTCAACAAAAAAGTACCAAAATTAACACAACTGTACACGTTACCTAAAGGCTATTACATCCAATGACCCTATTAAAAACCCTAAACTTTCATCTAACTAACTTTAATGTATATATAAATAGAAACTTACCACACCATCTATTGCCATATAAAGTAGACGCCTGGGTCTAACTACATTAAACAATCGATCAATATATTCGAATATGGCCACCATCATTTCATCCTCATTCTTAGGAGCTGGCCTGCAAAGTTAATTCAAAATTGAATCAGAATTTTGCCCTAGTTGACAAAAGAACGAAGAGTTATTTTAAGAGAAATATTACTTGTTTTCTGGATGTGTGCATGGATGAATAATGCCATTCATGTCCAAGTACAGATTATCAAACTCCACTTCATTTGGATTAGGTTTGCTGCTGTCCACAGGAACTTTAACTCCATTGACTTCTTTAGCCTGCATAGGGTCGAAAATAAAAAATAAATAAGTAAAGTTCTTACAACTGATCCTCTTAGTTATTCCTAAAAAACTAAATAGGAAATAAACTGCCTACAAAGTATGGTTTTAACCACACAGGCAATGTATCACAACCTTGGTGCAAAGACAGCAAATGTGCAGACTATATCCACCAAGTACTTGCATATCACTTGAGCTTGGCACATGGATATCAGGAAAGATTTCCTGGCATTTTTTACCAGAGATTGGGAGGAAGGGATATAGCACATATTTACCAGAATGAGACTGTGGCCAACAAAATTGACTGTAAGAAGAAATTGCATAGATTAGACTTTCACCTATATTCCCTAGAATACAAGATAATTCCGAATAGAAATGTTTTGAAACATTAAATAAGGTGGATAGACATAAACTATTTCTTCTGGTCAAGTCCAGAACAAGTAAAACCTAAAAATTAGACCTGCACTACCTCAGTTACAGCTTTATGTACTATTTCCATATCCTCCAATTCCCTTAGTAACCAAAGTCTGATGAGATCTCACCTGAATGTACTCAACAACTGAGCATCCATAGTTTCCTCCAGTACATAATCGAAAAGGTTCGCAATCCTCTCAGTGAGAAATATATTTTGTTTCAGTCCAAAATGGCCAATCTCAACCATTTATAGTCATCACTTATTCTGATACTGTAACCTTGAATTCTCAACTCCAATCTGAAGCAAGCATCTATTTTGTCAGGACCATTAATAATTTGGTATGCTGAGAAAAGATTCTCATTCTTTTACTCGAAGAGGGTTAGTATATTTCCAAGAATGCTGTTCACAAGTACAAAACCTTGGCTTTTAAGGAAGAGGTCAATACAATGCAAACTAAAATGAGAGTAACAAGTCCTTTTAAATCCAAGCTGTGCAATTGCTCCGCATTCATAAAACAAGTGGTGGTCTCAAAGAACTTGCATTTATGTATCACTTTTCATGATCTCTACTATTGCGCTGTAGGAAATGAGGCAGGCAATTAGTGTACAAAAGTCTCAAAACAGCCATGTAACAAATAATCGAATCATTTGTTTTCATGATGCTGATTTGAGAAGTAATTATTCACTTAGATTTATTATATTTCTTCATAGTGTGAAAAATATAAAATTTTTTGACATTACAGATAGTGGCAAACTGTTCCACAACTCTCTAACATTAAAATTAAAACAGAATTCTGATTCAAGACCTGCATTGATACATTCGCGTAAGAAGAGGTATAATCAGAGTGACCGATTCAGAATCATACAGCACGGAAACAGACCCTTCAGCCCAACTCATCCACGCCAACCAGATTTCCTAAACTGAACGAGTCCTATTTGCCTCTGTTTGGCCCACATCCCTCTAAATCTTGCCTATTCATGTATCTGTCCAAATGTCTTTTAAATGTTGCAACTGTACTCACTTCCATCACTTCCTCTGGCAGCTTGTTCCAAATATGCACCACCCTCTGTGTGAAAAAAATTGCCCCTCAGGTCCTTTTAAATCTTCTCATCACCTTAAACCTATGCCCTTTGGTTCTGGGCTAACCTACCCTGGGGAAAAGACCTTGGCTATTCACCTTATCTATGCCCCTCATGATTTTATAAACCTCTATGAAGGTCACCCCTCAGCCTCCTGTGCTCCAGGGAAAAAAGTCCCAGCCTTTCCTTATAACTCAAATCCTCCAGTCCCAGTAACATCCTTGCAAATATTTTTTGCATCACTTCCAGTTTAATAACATCCTTTCTTCAGCAGGAAAACCAGAATTGTATGCGGCACTCCAAATGCGGCCTTACCAATGTCCTGTACAGCCGTAACATGACATCGCAAGTCCTGTACTCAAAGTTCTGACCTATGAAGGCAAGCATGCCAAACGCCTTCTTCAACACCCTACCTGTGATGGCACTTTCAAGGAACTGCTTACCTGCACCTCCAGGTCTCTCTGTTCCAACAACACTCCCCAGGGACCTACCATTAATTGTACAATTCCAAATCTTACCAAAATGCAAAACCTCACACTTATCTAAATTACACTCCATCTGCCATTCTTCGGACCACTCAGTTAATCAAGATGCCATTGTACTCTTAGATAACCTTCTTCACTGTCCACTATACCACCAATTTTGGTGTCATTGGCAAACTTACTAACCATGCCTCCTACAATCTCATCCAAATCATTTACATAAATGAATACCAGTGGATCCTGCACAGATTCTTACGGCACAACATTGGTCATAGGCCTCCAGTCCGAACAATGAACCTCTACCACCATCCTCTTCTACCATCAAGCCAATTCTGTATCCAATAGCCCAGCTCTACCTGGATCCCATGTGATCTAATCTTACTAACCAGCTTACCGTGCGAAGGCCTTGTCCATGGACACAATGTCTTCTGCTCTACCTTCATTATTTTCCTCTTCAAAAAACTCAGTCAGTTTGAGAGACACAATTTCCCATGCACAAAGCCATGCTGACTACCCAAAAATCAGTCCTGGCCTTTCCACATGCAGGTAGATCGTGTCTCTCAAAATCTCCCCCAACAACCTGCCCACCACTGATGTCAGGGTCACAGGTCTGTAGTTCTCTGGCTTTTCCTTACAGCCTTTCTTAAATAATGGCACAACATTTGCCACCCTCCAGTCTTACGGCACCTCCCCCGTGGCTACTGATGATACAAATATCTCTACTACAGGCCTCGCAATTTCTTCGCTAGCTTCCCAAAATGACCTGAGATACATTTGACCAGGTCCTGGGGATTTATCTACCTTTATGCATTTTAAGACCTTCAGCACCTCCTCTTCTGTAATGTGGAGTCTTTTCAAGACCTCAGTATTTATTTCCCTGTGTTCCCTAGCCTCTATTTCTTACCCCACAGAAAAAATTGACATGAAATATTTGTTTAGGATCTCACCCATCCCCTGTGATTCTACACATAGATGGCCCTAGTATATCCCTAGTTACTCTTTTTCCCTTAGTATGCTTGTAAAATTTCTTCAGATTTTCCTTACCCTTATCTGCCAAAGGCTATCATGTCCCCTTTTTGCCCTCCTGATTTCCCTCTTAAGTATACTCCCACACCCCCTCCATTCCTCAAGGGATTCACTTGACCCCAGCTATCTATATCTGACATATTCCTCCTCCTTTTTCTTGACGAGACCCTCAATATCTCTCGTCATCCAGTGTTCCTCACTCCTGCCAGCCTTGCCCCTCACACTAACAGGAACATGCTGTCCCTGAGCTCTTGGTATCTCGCCTCTGAAAGTCCGCCATTACCAGATGCTCTTTTACCTGCAAACTGCCTCCCCCAATCAACATTTGAAAGTTCCAGTCTAATACTATCAAAATTGGCCTTGCCCCAGTGTACAACTTTAACTTGTGGACCAGGCCTGTTCTTTCCTACAATTATTTTCGAACTAATAGAACTATGAGAACTGGTCTCAACGTGCTCCCCAGCTAACACCTCAATCACTTGTCCTGCCTTATTTTCCAAGAGGAGGTTGCATTTTGCCCCTTTCTACGTAGGTCTATCTGTACATTGAATGAGAAAGTTTTCTTATGCACACTTAAATTCCTCCCCATCCAAGCCCTTAACACCATGGCAGGCCCAGTCTATGTTTGGAAAATTAAAATCCCCTACCATTACAACCTTATTATTCTTAAACTTATCTATGATCTCCCTGCCCATTTGTTCCTCAATTTTCCACTGACTATTGGGGGACCTATAGCACAATCCCATCAAACTGATCACCCCCTTCTTATTTCTTATTACTTATTAATCTTTATTTACAAAATCATTTTCCCTAAACTTATGAGCATTGGTTCACAAAGAAAATGATAAGTACAAGGCTATTTTCTTAATGACGTTGGCTTCAAGCCATCCCCGCAAGGTAATGCAGGCTTATCACTTTTTAAAATGCTTATTGCACAAGATAATTTTGAAGTTCTTCAACACTTATGAAATCAAAATTACAAACACTTCATCTAAAATTTATCAGCAGCACACGGACAATTGGCTTGAGTGCTCGGGGTCTATAGACATTTTTATGTGGCTGCACACATGGCGGATGAATGGGACTGATTTGGGGCACAATCTCAGCACAATCTTGTCTGTTGCTAAATAACACAGAGGAACACTGGCTACAGTAATTCAAAAAGTAACATTCTCAGTTAGTAGTAACACTGATAACCAAATCAGAGTTATATCAATAAAATATCTATATCATATACAAACTTAAATTCAAACTGCACTCAGGTCACATTTGAACTTCATACTCCAAATCAACTAGGCAGTTAAACCAAATAAAACTCCCAGTAAGTGTTGCATGTATAATTGCCTGAATCTCCCATACACAAGATGCTATGTCCAATGTTGACACGACCTAAAATAGTCCAACACTACAAAAGGTGCAAAGGATTCTGTCTTGATCATTTTCCATGGCAACGTATGCCCTGCCCCAATAGTTTGCCATGAAAAGAAATTTCTCAACCTCTTTCTGTGCTTGTTATTCATGTCTCATTTGTGTTAGTAATCAGGATGGCAGATGCAAAGTGCTAAGTCCTGACAAACCCATCCAAGTTATATACTGAAGAGTGATTCACTGCCTACCAGTTGTACCTAAACCGATGCCAATTTTCCAGATGCCAGCATAGTTAAACTATCTTTTAATTAAATAAAAATCCTTCACGATTCTAACATGAATGCACAGACCTTTGCAGTAAAATGGGGAGCACCATGACCAGATTGATCCTTAATATAACAGTAAATAACTCAAATAAACAGAAAATGCAGGAAACACTAAACAGGTCAGAAAGCAATAATTCGGATTGATTATATTTCATTTCAACTCGCAAATTTTGGAGATGTCATGAGTTTTAAGCAAGAGCCAGGAAGCTGAGGTAATGTAAGAAAGATGAAAAAATGAAGCGGTGCTTCCCAAATGTTTTTCTGATGTGACCCCAATTCAATGCCCCATCTTGCAATACCAAGG